CCCCAAAACCCCAAAACCCCAAAACCCCAAAACCCCGAGATTGCGGGTGAGGATTGAACTAGAAAGGAGGGATTTAGTGTAACTGTGAGAAATTATTGAGAGAATTAGCCAAGTTTGTTCTCTGGGGGTTGGACTGGCGCGATTGGGTTTCCTATGGGTGAGTTGAGGAGTTACTTACCCACCATAACGGGCTCCATTCCTGGCTGGTTGTTGGAAGGAATACCCATTTGTGGCTGCATTGCGTTATTTGGATCGTATGCAATGCTAGAGTAGAAATTAGAGAAGACTTACTTCTGGTTCGTGTTGGGATCAATATACATCATCTGTGGCTGATCTATTTATATGTTATTCAAGCATAAAGAGCTTATAGACCACATTTACAAAATTCATTCATAGAAAATGAGAAATGATAAGAAAAGCCAATTTCAAAGCCTGGCAGATATTTCAGTATCTGTTATAGCAAGGGTTTAATAGTTATATAACTAGTCATCTTTTCTATTGCTCAATAATGTTCATAAAATTAATAATATTACTATTGATTCTTGAAAAAGCTGATCTTTGCCTTCATAAGCCTCTAGCCCATATAAAATATTAATGTCCTAGTGAAGTAATGGTAAGCCCAACACTTTGAGTAATCGAACCTCTATTACAACTCTAAAGCCTAACTTTCGCCATAAAACCTGACCCTAAAAATTGTCTAAATTTCATCAAAAATATAAGTGATTTCCTGAAATTTCCGCTCATGAAAATTTGTTGTCACATCTTATGGATTCTGAACGGCCGAAATGTCCGGAGCCAAGACTTGGCAATCATAAATTTGAGTAATTGAGGATCACTCGGAATTTTAGAAGGATTTCAGACTTTTGCTTGGAGCCAAACTTGGACTTACGAATCATGTAACCTGGCTGGTTTGGAGCAGGGGGAGGGTTTTGGTAGATTGGAGGGGGGATGTCGTTATTGACTACTGCTACAGCCATGTTGTTGGCTCTTCCTTGGTTGTTAATGGAGCCTTGAGCTCCTTTAGCAACACAATATATAACACCAAAGATAATGCAGCCCATAATTATCATGAAGCAGCAAATGCTGCCGATGATAACAAAAACTAGTGCCACTTCTGCTATTTCACTATGGAGTTATCCAGCCACATTACCTGTATGTCTTCACTGATTCAACATCGATTTCGACACCGTTGAAAAAGGAGGTGGGGTGGACCATTATGTAGACATCAGTGCTGGTAGATAGAGAGACTGTCTTGGTATCGTTCCAGTACATGGAACCTTCCTTGTCATAGTTGTAACTGCTCGAGCTTGTGTACACGTTGATATCAACTCCTGTTGCATTCTCTAAATTTTATGAGGAATGTAGATTAGGGATCTTACTAACTTCAATCTTGAGACCATTAGCAGATATTGATGACGAAGTGACCTGATACACACAGACAACGCTTGAAGGAATATAATTTTTCTCAAAGGTAGAGCTTTGTCCATTGTAATAAAAAGATTTACTTAGAGATCCACAATCTGAGCTGTATGATGGGCACAAGATGTATCCGCCGTAATTGTTGGTTCCAGCAGTTCCTTCAATATCATCATCGTTAGAGCAAACATAGCTACTTTGACCGTAGCAGTAGCCTGAAGTGTCACTTGTGGATCATCATTCTCCTTGGTTAGAGCTGCTGTATCTGGAGACACACCACTTCTGTGAGGTGTTCTCAATGCAGCTTCTGCAAATTGATGAAGAACTAGATAGCAAGTTTCTGCCAAAATCAAACGCCATTGACTTTCCAAAGAGAAGGATTAGAATTCATATTGCAAATTTGTATGGCATTTTAGTGAATATTTTATAATATTTTCTGAATTTAAACCTCAGTTTATTTCTTAAAGTATGGGGTTTTGGGGTTTTGGGGTTTTGGGG